GGAGAAGAGCAAAGACAGTGCACAGATTTTCAGTCTGAAAGCTAGACAACTGGAGGTAGATATGACAACAGTCAATAAGGTCACAAATGGCATCAGTAAGGAGAAGAACTCCAGTCTTGGATGTGATCTCATGAATGAGATCAAACTAATTATCAGAAAAAAAAAACATAGAATCATAGAATCGTTTGAATTAGAAGGGATCCATGGAGGTCACCTAGTCCCACTGCCCTGCAGTGAACTGGGACATCACCAGCCAGATCAAGTTGCTCAGAGCTCCAGTCAGCCTGACCTTGAACGCCCCCAGGGACTCAGCCACCTCTCTGGTCAACTTATTTCAGTGCCTCACCACCCTTATCGTAAAAATCGGTTTTTTTGTAGCCAATCTAAATCTGCCCTCTTCCAGTTTGAAACCATTTCCCCTCGTCCTATCACAACAGACTCCGCTAAAGAGTCTGTTCCTTCTTTCTTACAGCCCCCTTTTAGATACTGAAAGCTTAAGTACTTTTTCCAAACAATGCCTGCTTACTTAGTTTACTCAGTTTACTCAGTGCCAAACTGCTCTGCATGCCCATGTATAGTTCAGAAATGGTCAGAAAAACTTTCAGGAAAGATCAAGTGTTATCAAAAACTATAAAGCTGTCTCAGCGGCCAAACACAAGGAGAAATGACAAGGAAGAAAATCACTGTGTTCTGGCTGTTTTTGCAACCATTCTTGGAGCGCTCCTGCAGGTTCTTGCAAACAAAGAGCGACTTCTGATCTGACCATACAGAGCCATCTTTAAATGTTCCTCTGTACTTGTACAATTCGTTCATATAGAATGTTTGGATTAAGAATATTTCATACCCGTACAAAACAATGTTTTTTTCACAGTCACTCCACATGCTATAGTACAAATTAAATCAGAGACCCTTTCTTCAGCAGGAAAGTTATTCAGGTTAAATTTAATTAAATAATCAGCATTTAAATACCTAAAACTAATCACAATGAATTGCTAGTGTTAAATATAATCTTGACCACAGAACAAACTGATGTGATGACTTCAGCATTGCCCCAGCTGAGATTATGGGTTACTCAAGTATTATGGTTTAGATGCTGAATTTTCACTGAATTATTGTGTGCCTACTGCATCAAGTTTAATTTATTATCAGGCTAATTAAAGTGTTCTAAAATATTGCAGTTTCTAGAAAAACAACCCCTTAAGGAATTCCCGTGACAAGTCATTAAATTAATGTTCAAAATAATATTCTCATTTTTATCCAAGTCAAGGAGATAAAATATAACTAGAGACTGGAGAGCAGTCCCACACTAAAGGATTTGGGGGTTCTGGTTGATGACAAGTTGAATCTAAGTTAGCAGTGTACCCTGGCAGCCCAAGGGGCCAACTATACCCTGGGTTGCATCAGGCCCAGCATGGTCTGTGCATGAGGGAAGGGGCTGTGCCTCTCAGCCCTGCACTGTGCAGCCTCACCTCAAGCATTGGGTGCAGGTTTGGGTACCACAATATAACAAGGACAGAAAGCAATTAGAAAGTGTCCAAAAGAGGGCTGCAAAGATGGGAAAGAGTCTAGAGGGCAAGATGTATGAGGAGAGCATATTCTATGTTTCTATGATTAATTTTTCATGAATTTTACACATCCAGAAATTTACTGTATTTTTTTAAGAACCTCATAAAACACAACAAAGTCTTGCACCTGGGGAGGACACCCAGCTGGAAAGTAGCTTTGCAGACAAGGATCTTGGGGTCCTGGTGGACACCAAATTGAACATGAGTCAGCACTGTGCCCTTGCTATGAAGACTAATGATATCCTGGGCTGCATTAGGCAAAACATTGTCAGCAAGTTAAGAGAGGCGATCCTTCTCCTCTAGTCAGCACTGGTGAGGTCACACCTGGAGTGCTGTATTCAGTTTCAGGCTCCCCAGTACAAGGGAGACACACTGGAGAAAGACCAACAAAGAGCTAACAAGATGATAAAGGGACTGGAGCACCACTCCTATAAGGGAAGGCTGGCAGAGCTGGGGCTTTCTAGTCGAAAGAGAAGGCTCAGGGTGATCTTTTGACATGTATAAACCTGAAGAGAGAAAGAATTTGGAGTCAGGTTCTTCTCAGTGGTGGCAAGTGCCAGGACAAGAGGCAATGAGCATGAACTGGAACACAAGAGATGATGTCTGAAAATCAGAAACGCTTTTGACTATACACGTCATGGAACACTGGCAAAGGTTACCCAGAGGCTGTGGAGTCTCCTCCCTGGAGAGACTCAAAAGCCACCGCGATATAGACCAAGGCAGCCTACTCTGGGCATCCCTACTGGACTGGGCTGAACCAGATAACCAAACTGAACCAGATGACCTCTTAAAGTTCCTTCCTACCTCAGCTATTGTATCTACAGAAATACTGAACCCTTTTCAAGAGGATGCCTCAAAACTAGCTTGCTATCTATCTATCTATATATACATATTTTTTTGAAAGTAGTATTTGTAGCACTCGTTGGAAGACAGGTATCTTCCACTTAACAGCAAGCAGGAGATAACTGTTCCTTAAGAATGCTTCTAGTTAGGGCCATAATAGAGGCGTAAAGACGGCAATTGCCCTCCACTCCTCCCCCCTCCAAAACAACAACAACAACAAAAAAAAAAAAACAACCCAACCTGGTGTCTGCTCTATTTTGGCATAATGAAACAAGCTTAGTTTCAAGCTATTACAAGCAGATTTACTCTTTTTGTGCTTAAGAAATAATGGTACTAATGTGTTGCCACTCTTGAAATCAAATATGAATCTATTTAATTGAAAAAGATAAGTATTTTCCTTTCACTGTTGGATTTTATTTTCAAGGTTTCAGCCATTTGAAAAATGGAAAAGAGCTGATGCAGTGTTGCAGATCATCCTTTTTTTCTTTTTTTTTTTTCTTTTTTTTTTTTTCCTTTTTCTTTTTTTCCGTTTTCTTTCCCGGGTGATGAGAGTGGTGAGACACTTGGACAGGTTGCCTAGAGGCTTTGTGTGCCCCATCATTAGAAGTGTTCCTACTTGGGTTGGTCAATGCTTTGAGCAACATGCTGTAGTGAAAGATGTCCCTGCCCATGACAAGGAGGATGGACTAGAATGTCTTCAAGGGTCCTTTCCAACACAAATCATTTTTGATTCTATTAAAAGGACATTTGTTGCAGGAAAACCTATGCAGATGCCTGTGTTTAGATAGTACGGTAGCCCCACTAGCTTTATCAAAATTCCTCCCATAGTGAACGTAAATATAACTTTTTAATAGGAGCTTCTTCTAAACCAACTCTGGGTCCAAGTATATCTGGTGCAGCAAGCTATTCTGGATTATTAGTGTCAGCATCCAAAAAGGTGCACATGTGGTACACTTCTAAAAACGATAGGGGAATTAGACCAAATAAAGTCACGTGTGAGAAAGCAGCTTGTTATACGCACTCCAGTTGATCAGTTTAACTTCGGACTTTTTTTTCTCCCGGATTAATCAGTCTTATACCTTTGACGTTTACACAATGTTGCTAAGCTAGCACAGTCAGGAGTTGATTTTGTCACAGCATCCATGAAGTTTCCTCCCCTAGAAGCATCTGAAAATCTAGATTTATTCTAAACAGAAGAAAACAATGAGTATTCAAAACCAACTTCCAAAGGCAGTGGAAGCACCTTATTAACATCGAAAAAGAAAAGCTTCCAGAGACGTTTCCTTCTAGAAAGATCTTACCAGCCCAGTGAGAAGACAACAGGCATTACGGTGTAATGGAACCAGCCTGCTCCAGAGTATCCATATAACGTCGTTGTGAGAAAACATTGCTAAAATGTTCAGCTTTACCTCAAAGTGTGCAACCCTAATCAAAGCCTCCTAGGCGCATAACGCAGCTCTTCTGACAGAAAGGCGCTACCATTACGCTCTCTCAACAGCAGGGCCTCAAACAATGGCCCTACCTAATCTCCTAACAAAGGAAAAAGTTACGGCACTCTTCGCCCTTCGTCTGCAGCCCTCTCCTGAAACACACCGAGGGCTGAACTCTCCCCACACGGCCGCCGTGCGGTGCGGGCCGGACCAGGCCAGGTCAGCGGGGCGGGTGGGGCTTTCCCCGCCCCTTCCCTCGGGGTCTACTTAAGGAGAAGAGCGGCCGTCGAAAAGAGCTGCTTCTTTCACACCCCCCCCTTCTTCCCTTGTAAGAAAGACAAGAAGAGGGGGAAAAAAAAAAAAGCAAAAAAAAAAAAAAAAACACGGCGAAAAAAAAAAAAAAAAAAGCGGGGTTATTCAGCGTCTGTTTTCCCAACGCTCCTATTGTTTTAAAGGCCTCGTTTGTTTTTGAGTGTGTGGGTGCTGTCACAGCTCCGGAGAACGATGGTAAGTCGGGCGGGGGATAACGGGGGAACGGTGGTGGGGCGGGTGGAGAGTGGGCTGTGAGGTGCGCTGGTCCGGGGGGGCAGCATAGCGGCAGTGGTGGGGCGGGGGACGGGGATCCCAGCAGTTGTGGCGCTGCAGCCTCACAGTGCCGTGCGGAGCCCCCGAGAATTACTGCCTTTTACAGTAGGTTCTAGAATCTTACACGTTAGGGTGTGAATTTTAGTGATACTGCGGGAAAATGATAATAAAATAAGGCTGAGGCGTGAGTTGGTGTCGTGGTCGGAGCCGTGGTGTGAGGACTTCGAGACGTGAGATGCGTCGTGCTGCGAGCGGCCATTTTGTGACTCCGGGCACAGTCACGGCCCTTCTATCCGCCGCCTCAGATCCGCTTGGGCGCGGCGTGACGGCTTGCCCTGCTACCGTGGGCTCTCCATCAGTTCCGGCTGTCCTCAGCCTTTTGGCATTTCCCCCCTTAGCCCTTTTTGTTAGCCCGTTTCCCGGCGCCGAGCTGTTAAGCCGCCCGAGCGGACCGTTGTCTCTTCGGAGCGCCGGCCCCACCCGGCGGTTTCCGGCAGCGCTCTGCGGTGATGCTGCCCGGCCCCGCACGTGCCCGTTCCGTGCAAAGTGCCCTTCGTCTTCGAGAATATTCTGCCTGATGTGGTCCCTGCTGGGGCGAAGCCTGGCGTCGCCGGATCCGGGTACAGTTCTGGTTGGTGCTAAACGTGTTCAGGGAAGGCAGCCGTAAAGCGTTCCTATCGAGGTGACTGTGTTCTAGTATATGAGCCGGCAGCTGAAAAGCTGAAACTGTTCACAGGCAGCATTGCTTTAAAAGAGATTCCTTATTTTCGGCTTCGCCCCCCCCCCCACTAAGAACGGTATCTGCTATTGTAAGGCTGACAGCTCAGCGGCTCGTAGGCAGCCCCGGGTAGCGGAGTTGAGCAGCGCTGCTGCGTGGCTCCCCCTGCCGCCTCCGGCCGGACGCAACGCCCCGAAGCCGCCGCCATCTTCTCCTTCCGCAGCGGCTGCCATGGCAACCGTAGGCGGGTAGCGGGCGTGAATACTGCGCTGTATGCCTCTTATTTTAAATAAACCCCGTGTGAATTCAGGGAGGAAGCGATCCGAGACATCGGGAAGCAGTGCTTCTGTGGCCAGAGGGAAAATAAAGGCTTTCTTTCCCCAGACGCAGTTGCGGGCATCACTCAGGCACTTCCACCTCTTTGTTTACCGACCCCTGCTGTAATTCAGGGGTTATTCCATCTTCCTGCCTTGAAGTCGACGCTCTGTGAAACAGTGCAAAGAGTAAATTACTTAATTCCCCTTGTGATAGGAGAAAAGGGGTAGGGGGGAAGAAATTATGTAGGTTGAAAAACTGAATGAACCGTGAGTCTCCTCACACCTGGAAACTGGTTTTCAAAGTTGCTTTGTGAGCTGCGGAGATAGAGAAGCTCTGCTTAAGGTATTTTTGAATGATTGGGTCAGTTTAGTTGCACTCGGTGATCCTTACGGGTCCTCTCCAGCTAAGGTTATCCTATGATTCAACTGGTGCTTCATTGTACTTCATGGTACATAATTCATCTGTTTAAGTGTAGCGTTTTTTCCAGTTTTGGGAATTGGAAACGGCTTTGGATACTGATCCAGCAGCAGTGCAGTTTGCCTGTAGTATGCACAGAAGTAAGGCAGCTTTGGGTATTAAAATGACAATAACATTTTATGCTGATAAAATAAGGGTGATGCTTTGTTTGATTTTACGGAAGTTTTCCATTGTAGTACTGAAGACTTCTAAAGTAAATTCAAAAGGAAAAAGACGCTGTTTCATGTCTTCATACTATGATAACTTTTTCATCATGTTCATCAGTAGCTCCTTTTTATGTTCTGAGAAATGTGTATTAAAGTCTTTAAAGCTTATTTTTGATATTGAAATGTTTGTCCCAGTGCCTAAGGAGCCTATTTGCCCCTTTAGATATTTAGTGAAGAAGGGTTAAAGAGCTGTATATTCTTTCAAAGTTTTCTCCTGCAGTGTTATTGTGAGAAACTAACGATGTGCTTCCATGGTAGCCAAGGCTGTTTTTTACCTGCTTGTCAGCAGTATGTGTATGCCGACCCACTTTCTTGTGCTGATTCTGGCTCTCCTGGGTGCATTTGCTGTGAGCAACTTCCTGCTTAAAGTTGCCAGAGAACTTGCACAGCCGAGTGAATGCTTTCTTTGAGCTTCGGTCACTGAAACAGGTCCAAAAAGAGGGAACAGACGTTAACAGGTCAGCTGTAGAGTTGGTCTCGTGTTTGAGTTAAAATGTTCGTTATCTGGGGGTATGATCAGCTCCAGCTCTCCTCTTATTTTCTTCTTGCTGTGATGTGTTCTCACGCTAGAGCAAGTGTTTACACAACTGTGGAATGAGCTTGGATCAGAAGCAGATGTATCTGAAAATTGCAACCATTTTTCGCTTGTGGAATGTATGGCCCTATTCCCTTTGCAGTGGTATAAAAAGCTGTCCTGGTACAATAAGCTGTCCTGTGTACAACAGAAGTAACCTACTACACAGTTTGCAGTCGGTAGCATATAGTTGGTGAGGTAAATGAGTTACATACAAGAACGTGGTACTGGATGTGATGGAGCCAGGTACTTCAAGGTCCAGCTTCATGAGATGCTGTTTAACTATGCCTCTCAGAATGGGTATTTTCCATCTCCGTTTCTTCTGCATCCGCTGAATCTCAGGTGGATCTGATGCTTATCTGATAGCACAGTAAGCTGATTCTGTTGTCTAAAATAACACAATACTAATCTGGTCAAAACTTGATCTCAGTGCTATTCTTTCTTAGAAACTAAGCTTAGTGTGAACTGACAGCTGTTAGATCTTGTGCAGAAGAGGTGTAAGAGAAGAGATGTAGCAAATTGTCTTTGCTTTTTAGGGGTAGTCTAGTGTTAATTTGATTCAGTCATTCTGAAATCGTACTTGTGGAAAGCTGAATTCTACTTTTGGCATTTCTTAATTGCTGGTTGAATCGTGCCACATGGACAGATTGGTTCTTGTAATTTTCTTACTCCCTTATTGGATGTCCAATTTGAATGAACATTGATCATTTGCAGCTGCAGTTTAAATAACTCTGTGTTAAACGTATAATTTGTTACATTGAAAAATGGGTGCTAGTGATTGTAAATTATTAGTAGGTTTCAAAGTATTAGTAACCTCAACTAAATCAAAAGATCTGCATGTCTGAAATAGGGGTAATGCCACACCAGTTGAGCTGTAAGGAAAAAGTTATTAATGTTTTGATCTGTCTTGACACAGAGAAATGAGCACTACTGAGATGGTCAAAGTAGTTTTTTTCTACAAGGTAGGTAAAGAATGGCACGTACGTAGAATCATTTATTCAGTTAAGATGAGGAACCAAAGTCTCATCTGTATGGTCGTGTATTTGTAAATATTTTTGTATAATGTTTGGAGTGTGTTTTAGAGTATGGGACACATCTTGGTGGCATCAGCAACAAGAAATGGAATTGCATGTAGTCTGTGTGAGCAAATGATTCCCTCTATAAACATTAATCCATAATCCATTTTCCTCTGATCTGAATTGAATGAGAAACTTTGAGATGTGAGTTTGGTTCAAGTCAGAAGGTGCGTGTGGAATGTGGGTGTGCAAAGCACATGTTGGCTGTGGTTACTGCATGACACCGTGCAGATATGTGCAGTGCTCTGGTGCTTGCCACTCTGACACAGGTTCACAGTCATTCTTATTTCTCTTGTAGTTAAATTGACTAAAACTTATTTTCTGAAGTGCAGATAAATGGTGTGAATATTCGATCAAGATTGTGTTATCTACCTCACAGTTAAATTGTAGTACAACTCTGTACCATTGTTCCAAGGAGTTTCATAAGCTTTACTCACTTGTTGAGCATTTCAGGCTTTTGATCAGGAAAATGATGGAATTTATTCACTGGATAATCAATTCACAGTAAAGAATTGAAGAATTTTTTGCTTGTGTCTAAAAGGAATTGTGTAAAACTTTGAGGTGAATAATTTTGGGGCTCTCCTTGTAAGTTGGGTGGTAGCAACAATGGTTGTGAGGCTTCCAGTTGGGCAAGGCTGCTTAGTGTAGCCTATCTGGAGTCTAGATCTGAAGTCTTAGCCTCAAAGAAGGGTTGGTTCAAACTTGTCCATATGAATGTTCCATTTGCAGTAGGTACTTCCTTTATATAACTGGAGACATGCTATTGATATTTGTGGTCTCAAACTGTATCTAGATGAAGGCTTACCTAGAAGCATATTATAATGTGACTGAGATGTTCCTGTTTAACCTTTTCAGTCTGCAAATACAGAAGCCCAGTGTGGAAGTGTCTCAGAAGATAATACCCATCTGTCAACAACCTGCCAAGGATATGTTTTACCAGAAGGAAAAATCATGCCAAATACTGTCTTTGTTGGTGGAATTGATATAAGGGTATTTATATGCTTTCAGTGTTTTTAAACTACGTATGATATGCTTTAGTGGGAAAGAAATAGGAATTTTAACTTCTGGAAGGCTTTCTTAATTGAGTCTTTACTGATCTTGAAATAATGCATTGTGGTAAGAGAACTTTGAAACTGACAAATAAGATTTTCGTGGAACATTAGGAGGTGTTTTAAAGCTACAAGTACCATTCTTAAACTCAACTGTAACAGTTCACTGTGTCTGTGAAGTAGTTCAAGACTTTGTTTCTTTTAGATGAATGAAGCAGAAATTCGGAGTTACTTTGAACAGTATGGTACTGTGAAGGAAGTGAAAATAATCACTGACAGAACTGGTGTTTCCAAAGGGTGAGCAGAATGTCATTACTTACTGCTTATATGGATGTAATCCTAACATAAATGTTGTCTGTTGATCAGTAGTTGCTCGCTTACCATGCTTAAGCCTTTCAAATTAAGGTGAATTGAAGTGAAACGTAAAACTAGACTGATCTTAAATCTGTTCAGTCTTACAGTTGAGAACAGGACAGATTTTATGTTGTTGGTGTACCTGTTGAGGGAAAATAGTGTTACTGTCACTTAACCAATGGGAGCAAAGCATAAAACTTAGTGGATGCTTGTGAAGGCTCTTCTTTCAGAGGTTGAAACTTGTTGACTTTTTCTGATGGCCACAGCAGTTAAGCATCAGTGTAATACCACTGATGTAACTGAGAGAGGGAGTAGACTTTCACTGGGACTGTTGGACTGCAGTCTTTGATTGCTCAGGGGTAAGTTAGAGGCAACCAAACTGTTTTAGGTGGTGAGTGAAACTTAAGGGATGGTAGAAAGTTACAGAGAATTCCCATTGGGTATGTAGAAGGAACTTTGATAGGAAGTATCAAAGTTTGTACAATCTACAAATCCTTTGTAGAAGGAACTTCACTATAGGTGAAGAACTTAAGTGAAGGTGTTTGGACTCTGCCCAGTTGAGTTCAGAGGAAGGCTCGCCCAGCTTTGAAATTAGACTTGTTTTGCAAGGAAGACTTCACCTCTAAAGGTGTGCTAATTGTTTTCTGTTACTCTGAGCAGATTCTAAAAAGTATCATTTCTTTTTCATGGGCAATGAGCTGAAAATATTGAGCTTAATGACCCTTGCCTGGTCTTTGTGGTAAATTCTAATCTGTGATTAGCAAGCATATGTTCTGATCATTGGTAAATTGCATATTCCATCGATTGACATACTCTACAGCTCTGAGTATTGTCTCCAATATTAAGGCTTAAATAAACAACAGGTACTGACATAAATTGAAAACCTCTTTTGGGATCGCTTCCTCCAACAGTGCAATTATTCCTGTAGTTCCTCCTTTCATTCAAGCCTTTGCAATATGCACAGAACTTAGTACATCATAATTAATGGAGCTTTTGGGTTTTTGGTGCTACTAATATTAACAACAGAACTCATTTGAGTAACTTTAATGGGAGAATATTGAATCTGGCATTTAATTCCTTTCATTTCGCCCAGTGTGCTGTCAGCAGCAAATGCACTTTGCTGAATTATATATTAATGTCCTGTTAATATCAGTTAATGTTCTTTTAACTGTTTTAGTTTAAAAAGAAAAAAACTAACAGCTACCAAAAAAAATCAAAACGTAGTAATTGAATGGTGTATTTTTTTCTTTTCAGGTATGGATTTGTTTCATTCCTGGACACTGTGGATGTTCAAAAAATAGTAGAAGTAAGTTCTTTGTCAAGTTGCCAGAAGAACCTTCTCTATGCAGTTGTAGGTGTGGTTAGGGGAAAACAATCCTATTGAGGAAAGTAAAAAGAAAAAGAGTAGAACTGCCCTGAAGTAAATGTGCTTAAATATTGTTGTGACTTAACCCAGTAGGTTAATGAGTACCTCATTGTATTTTAGTCACTGCACTCCTCCCCAGCCTTATGGGAAGATAATTTAAAAAAAAGAATAACCAACCCAAAAAAGCACCACAAAGTAGAGTTTGTGACTTAAGATGAAAGCTATTAACTAAGAGACTAGGAAAAGGAAAAATGGGTACCAGTTGTGATAATTGTGTGTATATATGTAACTGTTATCCTTTACATGTGTATATAAAAGACAAGTGATGCACAAGCAATGCTCACCACCCACCAGGTGATGCCCAGCTGGTCCCTGAGCAGTGGCAGGCTGCCTGATGAATTTCTCCCCTTTTCATACTTTTCTTGTACATGATATCATATGTTACAGAATATCCCTTTAGCAAGTTCAGGTCAGTCGTCCTGATTCTGCACCATCCCAGCTCCTTGTGTCCCCTGCAGTGCCACTGGTGGCAGGACAGTAGGAGAAGCTGGGAAAACTGAAATGGTTCCATGCAGCACTGCTCAGCAACAGCTGGAAACATCAGTATGTCTCAGTCAGTGTAGTTTTTTTCCTAAAACCAAAACAAAGCAGCATACTAGACACTGAAAGAAAGCAACCCTGTCCCAGCTGAAAAGTCAGAAACAAAATTAATGTAGTCCTGGTATTGGTGTGATTTGAAGTCTTGGGTCTTTTGGAGGATTTGGGGGAAGAAAAGTGGCTGCATACGGAGGCAGTGATAAAACAGAACAGAGATTGGCTTGGATAGTGTGCATAAAACAGAATGAAGACTGGCAGTCTGTAATTAAAGTAATTTAAGGATACAAGTGAGTGGATACAGAGAGCATTACAGGAGATTAAAGGTAAAAGGCTTAGAAAGAAGAAAAAGAAGGGAGATGGAGGCTCTTCGAAACTGTATGTGAGTTGGTGATGCTGTAGTACGGAAATAAATCATGGTTTCCTGGAATTTAAACTGACCACCCACCTTACTTATTCTCCAGCTTATGGAGTAACTTATTTTTCAGTCACAGATCAGTGTCCATGGTAAAAGGCTGAAACTGGGACCAGCAATTAGAAAACAACAAAACTTGTGTAAGTATATATGAAGTCAGATTATAAGTTTAGTTTTTCTGTAATCAAACAACAGTGTTCTTCCAAGTCCTTTTTTTTTCAGTGTAGTGTGCATGTTGCACATGATGTCAGTTCTAAATCACAGCCTCATTGTTTGTGGGGTGTACAGTTTTGATTATAAAATTGAATGAAGATTGGGAGCACAGTAGCTGAAAATGCAGTATGGTTAAGTCACTGAATTTAAAAGTCAAAATGTTGAAAAGTTTTTTGCATGTTGAATTCAAATATTTATGAAATACTCCTTAAAATGTTTTAATGTTTTTTTTTTTTCTTAAAACAAGGTTCTTATGTGCAGCCTAGACCATTAGCTTTCAATCCTCCTGCACCACAATTCCATAGTGTATGGAGTAACCAAAATACAGAGACCTACGTGCAGCCTCAAGCTGTGGTGAGCCCGCTAACTCAGTATGTACAGGTAAGGTTATTTGTGCTGCTGTTTGGGAGTTGTAGTTCAATGTTCATGAAAGTGTAAGCTATGTACACCTTCTCAAATCCGTATAAAGGTTCCAATCTCAGCTTACCTGCTCATTTTTGTCTTGTATTTCCCAATAAAGGTCTTAATTTAAAGCTATTTAAACTCCCAACAGGCCTGAAAAATTAATTTAATCATTCTTTATAAAACAAAATGCAGGAAGATGATGCACTTTTGATTTTGAAAATAAGTCTTGTAGGTGGAGCATTCAATTAAATAATAGTTCTTCAGTGGACTTGCTGCTTGTCATGCATCCAGATATTTACTGTGTTATTGTCTTATTGAGATAAACCACAGGCTTTAAAATCCAGTGTTTTCAAGTAGAAGTTAGCGTGTTACTCTTTTCTCCTACCAAAGCAAATCTTGTTTTTTTTGCTGCCTTTGTAGGGACGCTTGTGCTAGGCACAGCAGATACCATAACACCTTCCTTTGAACTTGAAATTAAAAAAACAACTTTTGTTTTGTAGACGTATGCATACAGTTCACCAGCTTTATTGATACAGCAGCAAGTTCCTGTAGGATATCAGCCAGCATACAACTATCAGGTATGTAATTCTTTAAGTTGGAGCAGTAAAGTTGTTGGGACATGCAGCACTACGGGTGTTTTCAGGGAGAAAGAACCTTTTAAGGAAACCTAACAGTTAAACCAGTTTCATGTCACTAGATTAATGATAGTGATGAAAATATTGAAAGGTGGCAACATCCATTTCAAACAAAATGATCATTTAGAGTTGTTTTGCTTATGGGAGGAAACTTTGTGCTTGTGCACTGTAAACAAAATCAACTATTTATGCAATAAACAGAACTGCTAGTCAGATTTATAATTGTGGGATATATTCAAAGTAGAAAAGTGTTCCTTTGAGCTGTAAAAATGTACAGAAAGGTACTTAGTAGCCATTTTTGAGCTTGTAATGAAATGTGTAGGTTGTCTTTGTTCTTGCAGACTAAATGAGGTAGATTAGTAACTGTGGAAACTGAAGGTGTGAGATGTTTTGTCTGCATGGCTGCTGTGACTGCACTTGGTTCTTTTCCTAATCTTTAGCTATGTTAAATTTGGAATGAGGAAAGGTAGGGGGCCTTTGGAATTTGTGGTGGGACAGACTTTGTGCTGAGTACTGTGAGGTCCACATGAAAAAGATACCATGCTGCACTAAGAACTGTAAGAAGGAAAAAATCCAGGTGTGAAGTATGGTGTGTGTATATATTGTGCCTATTAAAGAGCATTTATCTGTGTGGGAAATGGATAGATAAAAGCTGATTATTCTTCAATTCCTGTTTAAGGCTCCACCACAATGGATTCCTGGGGAGCAAAGAAACTATGTTATGCCTCCGGTAAGTCTGCAGGATTTACTATAAGTGTTTTGATACTTAAAATAAAAATAAAAATCAGACTGTTGGTTTACCAGGTCTGTGTGGAATCCAGTCTATGCAACTCTGTAGTTGCTGACATAAATAGTTGTTTAGGCCTTCCTTCTGATGTGTTAGTTTAGAAGTTGTATGACTGAACTAGAACTACCAGTTGTATATTGTTAGTAGCTAGTGAATTCTGGAATTTTAACGTGGAAACAAGATTTGTTCTTCGTGCAAAGCTGAAGGAAGGATAACGTCTAATGCACAAGCTGTGTTTTTAAGATCTGTAAAATACTACTGGTTGTTCCAGTTCTTTTGCAGACTTGTAAAAATCTTCAGAATACTTTTCCCTGCAGATAATGTTTTTAGTTCAAGAGCTCTTCTGAGCAGTTAGTGAGGTTGCTACAGACTAGGTGGCTGATGGCTTCCAAGGAGATAACTTCTTGTGACTTCACACAAGTGACATCCACAAGAGAGGAACGTTGTACAACATTTCTTTAACAGGATTGGCACTGGATCTTAAACTTGCATCTCCTATTCCTCAGTTCAAATACTGTATTTTTAGAGTGCTATTTCTATGAAGTGTTTTAAGAGCTATTATCTTTCAAGCTTGTTCCCAGCAGATGCATATCGACTCTGGAAGGTAAATGTGGGAGAGGTGAGAGTCAGAAAACAAAACTTCATGGGTATATATTGCTCTTGGCATTCATGTATTGTCTCTGATCATATTAGAAGAAAACTTTGTTATTACTTAGTTGAAAGCATGTGCTCTCAGCTTTGTTTTCAAGCCTTTCTGTATTACAGGGAAGTCTGTATTTCTGTTAGTGAGGGAACGTATTTGCTAAATAATTTTGACAACAAAACCTATATATGGAGAACGTGTTGAGGAGCTAGCTTTCAAAAGCAATTACAGTGATGAGGGAAGACATGTATTTGAAAGTATTCTTTTTGGAAGGGGGTAGAACTGTCTTTAAAACAGGTCAGGATACAGTTATCCCCTTTTGTGAAACTATACCAAAATGTTAAGGCTGGCTTTGCCTCTTGGTAGGTGGGAACGAGTGACAACATAGTTATGCATATTCTTGTAGTGTTACTAAAATACTGCGCTGTCTTCAATATGCAGGTTTATACTTCGGTAAACTATCACTACAGTGAGGATCCAGAGTTTATACAGACGGAATGTGCTGCTCCAGAGCCCACACAGTTGTCTGGTAATAGTCCACAAAAAGTAAGTTTTCTCAGAGCATTTTTTACTGTTAGACCTGTTCCCATGTTTTTTGTGTGTGAGGGCTACATGGCTTACGTGGCTTGAAGAGGTCTCCTGACCTCTTCATCTTTTCTAGAATTAAGGTTGTAATCATCATTTCAGCCATTGTTTAATCCACTGTAATTTCTGCATGATTTCAGAAGGCTATCTTGCTTTCTTAAAGCTATTAATAGTTAGTCTGTAGTGTAGGGATGTGTACAATGTGATCACGTCAAGATGTTCTTAATCTGGTAAGAATTATTGAAGAATTACAGCTACTAAAATGGCAGATTGGGTAGCACTTCCCATCTTACTCAGGTTTATGAGTCTCAAAATGTAGATGGGTGAAATTTATTACTCTCTTATCTGCTTGCTTTTGTGGAAAGCTATCTCTATTTGGCCAGCAGTTGGTTCTGAATTCCTTTCTTTAAAGAAGACTATTGCTCTCCTGTCTGCCTCTTACACAGCTCTGTACTGGCTTGTTGCTGATAAAAACATTTATGTTGTAAATGACAACTGGGAGCATTGAAAGCAATTACCAACATTAAAGGGAAAAATTCAGGGAGAAAACTGAAAGGACTTCTGAGTGAAGTGTAAACCCTGTGACAGACTCACTGCTAGTATTAGGGCAACTGATAGAATTATTATAGAGGCATCTCTTTTATTTCAGAAGTCTGTGGACAGGAGCATACAAACAGTAGTATCTTGTCTGTTTAATCCTGAAAACCGCCTGAGGAACAGCTTTGTATCACAAGAAGACTACTTCAGGGTATGTAGTGAAAGCAAAACTAAATCTCTGAAAGCAGCTGATCTTAACTTTGTTCATATACAGGATACCATAAAGACAAAGATTGATCTGTACTTGCTTGAGTTCTTATTTTTTGTATGTGCACTGAGATGAATGAATGGTTAGCTTTCAGTTAGTTAATACTGAAAGAAAATTGCAGAAATTGAGTTCAGTGGATTTAAGTGCATTGATAGAATGCTGCATGAGAACTGCTGAGCAGTCAGCTATTGGGTATTTAGAGCTAATCATCCCTCAGGAGCAATCTGCTGAAAGGTAAGCAGATTGCATCTTGTAAACAAGAGAACAGAGTTACATGGTTATGGTCTTTTCTCCACTTAAGTACTCACTGTGGATGTCTATCTGTACTTTAGTTAAAAAGTAAATAATTTCTACAATAAAGTGTAGTTAGATCAATACCTGGTCATCAGTACCTGGTATTAATGGGAAGTTTTTTGCTGTGCATTCAGTCTTCAGAGAGGCCTGATTACATTCCCTTCTTTTATATTAGGGTTTCAACATTATACCTAAAAGCCTGCTACTTTTTTTTTTTGTTTTGTTTTAAAAAGACAGATGTGAACTAGGCACCTGTACTGTGAAGCCAGAATAGAGAAGCTGTGTTTGACAGATTTAGAGAGGACTGAGTAATACAGAGAATGTCTTGAGATATTTGTGATGCTTTTGTTGTTTTGTTGCTACTGTTGTCTAGAAGCATGGCTTTTTGTTTTTTTCTCCTATTCCAGGAGAGGAGGGCGCATCACTTCAGAAAAGGAAGAGCAGTGCTCAAAAGTGTTTGATCAACAAAGACTTTGAAGTACATAAATGTATTACTTTGATGTTCTTACAGTTCAGTTTAGTAAGATGTGTAGTAAAAAGTGTAACCTTTTTTCAGAAAGTTGCTTCAAGTTGAAGTTTGTGTTCCTGTTTTACCTGTTCCAGTATAGCTATTTTTGCTTGCGGAGTTTGAAGTTGTAGAGTTGAAATGCTTCCAGGTTTTATTACTAGCTTGCATGCTTTTCCCACTAACTAACTGAAATGCTAATTTTAAAGAACTTATATGGGGAAGGGGAAAAGAAAAACACTCTTGGTTTGTTTGGTACATGTGGATTTTCTTCTGAGCTTTAAGGTACAGTTTGTTGCATGTTAAAATTTAGTTCTTACTAAACCACAATTTTAAGTTACTAATGTCAACCAGTTACCTCTTGCAGTTCAAAAGTTGAAGCAGTTCCTTGTCCAAGATGGAGTATTTTAAAACTGAGCTCTTAATCAGTGGAACAGAAGATGTCAAGGTGTAACTCAACTGAAGCCCCTTTTAAGTCCTGGTTCTCTTTAGATACATAATCAATGTCTTTGTTGGCTAATGACAATTTATCTGTGTGAATACTAGGATTCCTGTATGTAACTTAAGATGCAAGAATGTAATTAGTTATGTTGGCTGCTCAGGGGAGTATGATTTTTTTTTTTTTTTTTTTTACTGGATTAATTTTAGCAATACCTGTATCTTAAAATTGTGAGAAAATACTGCATTTAAAATATGCCTAACTTTGTGATGCAAAGTGTTAATCAAAGAATACATGTAAGCATATTTTAATAATAATTATGTAGATTTTAGTAATGTATTTTGAAACAATAAATTTTTTTATTTTGACTTACCCTTCCTGGTGTGAGTGACATCCTAATACTTCTTTTTAAGCTGCTTTGAGAAAGGCATGCAGCATAGTATTTATTGAAGGAATTGAAGATCTGTTGCTATAAGCTTGTTGTAACTGGAATTCTTACCTACCGTGTTTGGGTTAGTTCCTACCTGCACTTTTGAAAGAGTAGAACTGAGAACAGCAGTCAATCTTGTGTGTGTGTTGAGTCCTAGTCTGATTCATTCTTAGTACTACCCTATCTCTCCAAATAAAAAAGGAAATAACTCCTTTGTAGATGTGTGTGTATGAATGAATGGAATGGCATGTCCTGTTTCAGATGTCTAGAAGTAGATGTCAGTGAAACATGCAGTAAGAGCTGAGTTGCTACAGACCTGGGTGATGGACTATAAGATACAGCATAGAAATGTCCCAGGACTGTTGCTCAGGAGTAGGAGTGTTCAAGATGAGATTATTAAATTGCAGGAGGGAGGCGAAGAGGAGAGGGCTTGGGGGATAGCAATAATTGGTGCAATTCCACATAAAATTACTCAAACAATCTTCTGGCAGCATAAATTGACTTAAAGTTGTTCACTTTTTTCTCAGCTCAGACTGTTCCTTATCACTAAAGATGCTGTGTCCTTAAGTGTATTTCTGCACTATCAGTCACCATGTTTTTGTCAACCTATTGCTTTAATAGTGTTGTTCTTTTGATATACTTCCACGTTTCCAGCTTCTGTGTAAGTGGTTTTCAATCGTACACAATTAAACTCCACATACAAGTAATCTGGAGTTTTGAGTACAAGGACCCTTTCCTTTGCAACTTTAAGTACCTAAGCAGCAGCCTACTTGTAATGTTACATCTGTGATGCCAGTTTATTGATAAAGGTAATTGTTTCTTTGCAAATGCAGAATTCATTTTGGCTTAATGTTCTTGTTGGCTAAGTTGCCTTGGGATGTGTTTGATTCTTTATGTTGTGCTATAAGAAAACATGATCTGCTTGTATGTAGCTTTCATTGAGGAGTCTTAACACCAAAAGAAGAGATAAAAACAGAAGATATCTAAATAAAGTGCAAATTTTATGTTTATTTGACCAAGTGTTTCTGGTAAGGCCATCTGGTGAGCAAGTTGATTGTTCAGTATGTTTGAAATGGTTGGTGCTAGATATGAGTTGTTCTTACAAGCATGCTGAGAAGGCTTAGTGAAATGCATAGCTCAGGCCTTACAAGCACCATTTATTTTCTCTTCCATTAGATCATGTTGAGCTACTTTTGTTAGCCATTTCTCACCCATAGAAAACACTATCTTTTTTTTTTTTTAATTATTCCCATCTGGGAATTGTACATTTTGTGGCATATACCATTGAAAGTAACAAGTTATAACTAAGAACATCTTTAATGTTTGTTTGAAGTACCCTGTAAGCATAACACAGAAGTAGTAGGTAAATCTCTTTTTGTGTTGCGTTTAGAAAGCTAAAACATCTGTTTAGTATGGCTGTAGCTGAAGGCATTTTGAAAGTAGGTGTACAATTAGCTGCTTGCAAGTTTGTTCCTCCTGTGTTACTAAATTGAGTGGACCATGTTAATTGGGAGCTGGTAGGTATAATAGTGGGTTCTTAGGGATATGCTTTTGTTTTGTTTTGTTTTTTTAAACTTGTGCAAGCGAAACAAATTTTGATTTGTCTCTGGCTTAACCTGGCAAGCTTAACACAGCTGTTTGTTCAGTCCCCCCTTTGGTGGGATTAGGAAGTCATGGCAGGGAAGAGGAGGGGAAGGAAGGAACTTGGGGGTCAAGATAAGGGCAATTTAGTAGGGAAGAAACACAAAACAAATGACTTCCAGCTTGCTCATTCAACAGCACTTCCTCCACCCGGCTGACTGCGCCCAGTGTCATTCAGTATGATGCCCCGTGGTGTGAAACATCCCTATGGCCAGTTTAGGTCAGCAGTGTGGCAGTGTCTCCTCCTGGCTTCTTGTGAACCTCAAGCTTCCTTGCTGGCAAGGTGGCATGAGAAGCATAAAGTCCTGGGCTCTGTGTAAGCACTGCTCAGCAATAAATAAAACATGGGTGTTATCATTTTCCTCCTAGATCTAAAGCCTGGCATCATACCAGCTGCAGAGAAGAAAATTAACCATGCCAGCAGAAATTGGGACATTCGAGTATGTTTTGTGTGGGATCCAAAAGCATCCAAGTTTCCTGTAACTAGTAAGGCAGCTTTTTGCATTAGTTTTGCATTAGTTGTTTAGGTAAGATAGCAAAACAGTGTTTGCATTTACTTGGTATTATTTAACTAAGGCACTTGATTATTTTATGGTCCTTTAAGTGAAATGTCCTAGTGTGCTGTTTGGTTCTGTGGCCTTTTCAAACTCTTCTCGCAAGCTTTGCCACCTGACAGAACTAGTCTTGGAATGAGACAGCCAGCCAGATGGTATTCTTGGATCTCTGTTGGAATGATAGTCTGTCTGGCACAGACAGGAATTTTCTGTCAAAATGGAAATATTTTTTTTCCTTCTAGGTATTTGTGCATTAAACTAAGATGCCAAGTTCTGTCTTACATGAAGATTATTTGATACTTGGATGCTACAGAGAAACAAAAAAATGCTTCCTTAATTCCTTAAAATGTGAACCTTTTAGAGGACTTTCTTGTGAGTGTCATAATGAAGCAATTATTTTCTCAAAGTCCACTCATCTGTAGCCTGTAGATGTCTGCAGGAAGGTGTTAGTGGACAAGTATTTCATGATAGGCGTACTGTAATTTAAAAGCTCTAGTGTCTTGCCACTTCAAGTCTGAGAACGTAATCTATTAAAAGGATTCAGATTGAAAGGAGAGGATCATTAAGTATTATCTCTACAATGAAAAAGTTTGAGTAGCTTCACAATCTAGATGGGTTCTTGCTTCATACTGTATTTCATTCCTGCTCTCCAGTTTATGATGAACTTTAAACTTACGGGTTGGAGAGGAAGGGGAGAAAAGAGGGTGTGGGGGACTGAAGTATGCTTGAACTGCAACTCTTTTTAGGAGGACACAAGCTGAGTTACTCTGGGTCTTTGTTAATCCTGTGACTCTTCTGGCTTTAGCAGGATAGGATAGAAGTTTGCGCTACATGGGAAAAGCTTTGAATTTATGTGCTTGGTACTCAAAACATTCCTCAAGCTGGTGAGAAAGCTTTGTTCTTTTAGTTTACAGTTGCAAGGCTATTAAGTGCAGTAATGAGGAATACAGACTTTTAATTTTAAAAATACATTACTGTAAAATGTCAGAGCTAAAAATGTGGAGTATGTATCTATATAGTATGTACCCTGTTCAAGAGCTGTCAGCATAAAGCAACAATAACGCTCTCAGAGCCTCAAAATACATAATAAAGACATCTGCTGCAGAAGATTGTGGTTTTTGTCTGCATGGTGGGTTGTACATAGCAATCTGTCCTGTACTGTTTCAGCTGGGTTGGATTCTGTAACAGAAGACAGCTCTGTAATGTTCCTGTGAGTTACCATCATTACTTGCTTATATTGTTACTTCATAAGTTGGTTGTATATGTTTTGAAGTAGTGTTTGAACTATTGAGAATGTTGCTTTCTTTTCCCTCTGTCCCATCCAAAGTGCTGTAAGTTGAGCCTTATACTCTATGTACTATGTATTTTAATTTTCAATGAATAATACTTTGAATATTGCTTGGTTTTGACGGGGATGAGCTTAAGGACAAACTTAACTGAATGTTTTTTCTCACATTTATTTTGTGTGGTACCCTTGGTACACTGAACATGTTCATTGGGTAGTCTTAGGATAATTTAGGATTAGAACAGCCCTTTAAGAGGCTATTTATGCTTTTCCCCGGGAGAAGAATGATGCTTGGAAGTTGAAAATGTTTTGGTCTGTAGTAGTTAATGGCACTACTTGAGTGGGTTGGGCACATGCTTTCGCCTTTGGCTTTTGGAAGGATATAAAGATGGCTGTGACGTACCACATTACCATTACTATGTGGTTTCTGACTAATGTATGCATTTGGTTACTAAGTCGCATTACTAAATCATCTTCTATCTTCTTGCACACTTACTGAGATGAAAATCTCTGCTGAAGTCACTAATGACTGGGAGAATATCCTCCTCAGAATTGCTCTGTCACTTTGCAAATCCTAACTGCTGCACTGAGCAGCTGCCTTGTGATT